TTATTGGGAACGATTTTTTTTTTCTCGAGGGTTTTTTTTTTATTTATAGCGATTTTCGATTTAGTGGCGTACAAATTATCGAGACACGAATGTATTACAAGCACATGCTCTCATTTTATTATAATAATACATATACATATATACTATATCTGTCGGCCTCTGCATTCGAGAATTTTTCAATAGAAGAAGAACAGTCGCTCGCTTTTGACTTCAGTTCAGCAATACCTTTACAGAGCTCAGTAAGAAAGAAAGAGAGAGAAAGAGACAGAGGGAACAGGAGAGAAGTAATGCAATACTCTCGATCAATCTCGCAGTCAAGGTCAAGTGCCGCTGATATTACCTACATGTAAACCACGTTCCTTATTTTAGAATAACTTTTATTATACCCTGAGCCCATTGAAAATGGGAAATCAGGGTATAATGGTTTTGTTAAAATGTATGTAAGTTTGGCTTAGGGCAGTATCTAGTCGAGCACTCTCGACTAGAGTTTTCTTACTTGTTTTACTTTATCTTACATATGCTTTAATCGAGATAATATGAAAATGGTAACTTCCACTGAGCCCTGTATACGCACTTACCTTACCTGTATACACCTGAAAAATGACAAAGAGCCAGAGCCCGAAATAAAAATCACATTTCTCACCCATTGAATTTCGTAATATATATTAGCAATTTGTCCACTTAAATCGATTAAATTTTTGTGTCTTGATGTTTCTTTTCTTGTTGTTGTGTGTTTGCCTTTTGCTTTCTGTGTTTCTCTGTTTATTTTGCTTGGTTTTTTAATATATTGAATTCTTTTAAAGTACACACATAAAAGTTGAATGATACATTGTACCTGCAAGCACACACACACACATGCACACACACACGGCCATGTTGCTGTGTGTATAGGTGTTGGCTTGTCTTTTGTCCAATTATTTTTCTTTTTTCTTTAGCTTTTCCTTTGTTTCCTTGTGTGCGTGTGCGCGTGTGTGTGATTGTAGGTGTGTATATGTATGTGTGTGTGTGTGTGTGTGTGGTTGTGCTTAAGTAAATATCAACTACAATACTTTAATATCCGACAATGCTCAATATACTCTGTTCCCAAAGGAAAAGAGAGTATATTGGTTTTTGTTTTGCTGTCAGTTTGATTATCTTTCAATCATATTCAATTTATTTCCATATAATTGATTTTTGTTTTGTGTTTTTTCTTGTGTTTTATTTTGTATCATATGTATTTCATTACAACATAATAATTTAGCAATAAATATTGTTGATTACGGTTCGCTGTTTATTTTATATGCTTTTTTTTTTTGTTTTTGTTCTTTCATGGCTTTTTTGTTTGTTTTTTGAGTATTTACAAAGATCTAAGAAAAAAAAAATTGTCGCCGTTTTTTTTTTTCTTTCATCATTTTCATATATAGCATATACATATACATATGTATATATATAGTGTATATATATTTTTGTATATGTTCTGAACTCGTATATATGCATTTAAATAGTGTTTATTATTATTATTATTATATATAAAATTGCTTGCATTTTTTTTCGTTTTATCTATTATTTAATATTCTTGTTTATTAACTTGCGACACACACAAAGATAATTTATATTTATATATTTTTAGTGATAAAATGGTTGCTTAAAAAAAAGAAAAAAAAAATCCGTTTATATTTATATATTAATTCTATATAACTTGACAATGGTGTATGTGTGTGTGTGTGCCTGTGTGTGTGTGTGTAGGATATGTAAAGTTAGTATTGTTTCTGTTGTTGTTGTTGTTGTTGCACTCAACCTACAAAAAAAGCATGTCACATCTTCTACATCTTTTTCTTCTTCTTTTTCCTTTTCCTTTTCGTTTTGCTCTGCAATTTCTTTATGCTCAATATACACAAAATACATCAAGCATTTATATATATATATATAGTATGTCTATATATGTATGTGTTTGTATAAGTACTTTTATTTATTTATGTTTATTATTAATATACATATATGTATATGTATATATATTAATAATAATAATAATAATAATATTTCGAAATACAGTGAAATGCCAACAAAATTTAAAGTTTTCGCTTGGCTTTTTTCTCTCTTTTTTTTAATTCATAATTTAAGTTTATGTTAAGTAAAAAAAAAAGTTGATATATATATATTTTATGTATATATATATATTTTTAAATTGTTAAGGAAATAAATAAACGGTTCGACGTATCAACTAATGACTAATTTGGTTATGTTTTGTGTCTCAGTTTTTTTAAGTACTTTTTTAAGAGATTTTTTTTTTTTTTTTGTAATTTTCTTTTCATTACGTTTTTCTTTTTTTTTTTTTTTTGTTTAGCTCTTTTGTGTGCTTTTGTTGTTGATTTTTTAACGCGGAAACGGAAGTCAATTTGTCAGCTTTTAGGGCACAGAAATCTTAGATATGTGTGAGTGTGTGTGTGTGTGTGTTTTGCCAAATGCTTGCCATGTGCGTGTGTGTGTGTGTGTGTGTATGTGTGAATGGGCCTGGCGCACATCAATTTATATGCTAATGGCGCCAGGCAAGTTATTTAAAATACATATGCCACGCCCCCGCAACGCCCCAGCCAACAGCCTGTTAAATGAAGTAAGAAAAAAACGCGAAAAAAAAATAATCGCGCAGAAAAATCCAATTTATTTAAATATATATAAATGCACACACATACACACACACACACACACATACATGCTTTGTGTGTGTGTGCATGTACATACATATATACATACATATATAAATTAATATGGCTTCTCGTGGCTGCAGCGTGCTCCCACATTGGCTGGCCACGCCTCCTGCCGCCCCGTCCGCACTTCATTCAGCGCACGTCATGTTGACAAAATTCAGTTAACGCAAAAATCTCATTTAAATATGCATGAAGCCCAAGCCACAGTCGCGTCCAAGCCGCAATTTAATTTCTCTCTCTCGCTCTCTTCTATTTTTTTATTTATTTATTTTTTTTTAAATTTGTTTCGTTGTTGTTTTGCATTCAACTTGCTGCAGGACACTTCACATTGTGTGAGTGAGAGAGAACGAGCGTTCTCTCTGTATGTGCGTATGTGTGCGTGTGCTTGTGCATTGTTTTCCGAGCTATGTCGCTTGGCTAATTATGCGGCCCGGGCGGCACACACAAATCTCAGCTTAAGAGCCGCGCCATGTTAACTACTATGCAGCTGTCCAACTCAGCTGATCAACATGTCCGGTTGGTCGCTTGCTCCGCTTGGACTCATAATATATCATGGTCACGGTCGCCGACTGTGGCAATGGGCCAATGACAAATGCCCACAGCGAAACACGCAGGCCGAACACAAAGAGTGTGGAGCACAATGAGCGAGAGCGAGCGCGAGAGCGAGAGGGCCTGATACACAGGTCTCTTGTGCAGAACACGAAAATAAATTCATTAAAGCATTTATCAAGTTCGACACTTGCTGTCATATATCATGTTACATTTTGAGCTGTAACATGTTTAATCCGCGGCCCCACTCAAATGAAAGAGAATACCAAAAAAAAAAATACGACAACAAAAACACAATAAATGTAACTGTGTAAATGCAAGCAGAGGGGCACAGCGAGTGGGAAAGGGAGAGCGGCAGAGCCAGAGACAAAGCCTGGCGGAGGGAAAGGGACAGAGCCAGTGGCTGTGGCTGGGCCAGGGACATGAGGAGCGAGTGTGATAGACACAGGGGCAACATATCACTGTTCAGCCTACGAAGTTGCATTCTTTTTTTGTTTTTTTTTGTTTTTTAATTTGTGTAACGTGTTTCGTGTTGTTGTTTGTCCGTTTGTCTGCCTGTCTGTCTGTCTGTCTGTCAAGTTTGTTGGAATAAGCGCGAGTTGGCTACAGTGGGCACTGTCTGGCATGCACAAGTTTTAACTTGATTGGAGATTGTCTGAAAAAAGAAGGCCTTAAAGAAAATGTTTCCAAAAAAACAAAAACTAAAAGCCGGTTGCAACTTGAACTGAACGCCCTTCGCCACGCCCCTGCCAGCTTTGACAAGCACTCAAAGTTTTTTCTCCGCGCTAACTGATTTACATGCATAATTCAAATTGAAAATTAAATTCAAATAAATGCATTTTAAATTAATTTTACTGCTGCTGCTGTTGCCTGTTTGTTTATTATTATTATTTGTATTATTATTATTATGGCTTTTTTTCTTCACTTGAACAAATTGTTATGCAAAAGCGCGTGAAAATCAACTAACAAATGGATGCGAATGGATCTGCATAATTAACAGCAAAACTGTTTGCATACATTTTAAAAATACAGATCGAACGGATTGAATGAATGAAAAAATACGAAAAATAATAACAATAAAACTGCCGTTAAATGCAAACAGTAAAACCGAAAAACTGTCGGAGATAAAAACCAAAATACTCAAAACAAAAAAAAAGAATATCAAACGGCAAATATATCGAAAATATAAATCGAGGCAAACGAAAAAACTGCGTTGAATGCGATATGCAGAACAGTGTAAAGAAAACAAAACAAAAAGCAGCCCTGCAGCTGACCTGAGGGATACTCAGCGTATGGGCGACAGAAAAAAATCATAGACAGTGCAAATGACAGACAGGCAGCAGAGGAGACCAGAAAATTCGTATGCACATTTCTCTTGAGCACCCCTAATGCATGCGAGAGCCTATGACTCTGCCTGCCTGTTTGCCTGCCCCGGCTCTCAGTTCGCTCTCACGCTCTCACTCTCTCGCTCTGCCCAGCCAATGGGCTTGCATGCTCCCCACTCCTTACTCGCGCCGCACTGTGCACGCGATATGCTACGCTTTTCGCACTTATTACAAATTTATAACTGTTATTTTATGGCCCTCATAAATGTGCTTGACACACGCACACACACGCGCACTTTAGGTTGTAATTAGCATTTGGCATGTCTGTTGTTGTTGGTGTAGGTGTTGTTAATATTGTTTGTTTTTGCCTAGTGTTTCGCAGTGTTCGAGTGTCTAATAGACTAGAATGCCGCTGAGTAGCTTAACTAGAGGATTTCAGATGTTTTTTTTTTTTTTTGTTGTTTTTCTTTTTTAGGTTTTTTTTTTCTGATAGATATATTTATGATGGGAAGACTCCGCTTTTTGTCTATAATAAGTATCATGTGGATGGTGTATTTTGTGTTAATGTGTGTGTCTGTGTGGGTGTATGTGAAGAGTGGGGAGGTTTAATTAAAACATGATGCCGAAAAAGGTCAGAAACTTGAGTAAACTGTACAATTTATACAAAAACCGATACCTAGCCAAGTGTATGAAATTGAAATCCGCTCTGACATATTCCGTTTCCGGTTCGATTCAACTGCATTTGCGGGCGCGCCGCTGGAAGCGCTTCATGCGCAACGACCACTCGTCCTTCCACTCCAGCACCACAGAACTGGGTCCAATTGCCAGATAGCCCGGCGCTGCCTCCGAGTCACGTCCAAGTATTAGATACGATCTGCAAAGAGTTCCAGACGAAAATAGATTCATTGAAATCATGAAATAACTAGCAATGCACGTAAATTATAATTAGTTCGGATTTGAGAGCTACTCACTTGTTCAACTTGATCTTGGGGCACTGACACTCGATACTCTTGCGCGGCACCAGCAGCATCATATTGCCACGTCCCAGCAGCGAACTGGTTGTGCCCGACATGGGGTTACGCTTGAAGATCGTCTGTATGTTTATCTCGTACTTGTAAATCTCGTTCTGTCGCTCAATGGAGAACTTCTCGGTGCTGATGTCCTGGGAGGCGCGATCATGTCCAATTACCTTGGCCAACAGAGCTGCAATCGAGTTGAGTGTGTGAGCTGGCCTCTGGCCAATAGAGTGCGCATTGCGTATACGTACCATAGTCCTCCATGCAAAACTTGTTCAGATTCAGCTTCTTGGGGCTGGCCTTGCACTTGCCGCAATCTATATATGTGGTTGAGGGAGTGGAGAGTATATTATATGAGTATTTATTCATTTTTTTGTATATACATATAATCTAATGAGTTGTTATACCCCAGCCAGATATCTATGTAGCTAAAACCTCTACAATCCATTTAACTTAAAAAGTCTCCAAATCATCTGCAACGAACCTTTCTCTTATAATTTTTCACGAGTAATTCTCCACAATCTCTATCGTCAATTAGTAACCCAATAGTCGAGCTCTACTTGTTACTCTCCACTACATAACTTTTTTTATAACCTTCCACGAAAAATTCTCCAGAATTTCTATTTAATCATTTATTAGTAACTCATTAACTAAGCTCTATTTGTTACTCTCCACTATAAACTGATAACTCTCCACGAGTCGGTGTCTTGTTACACCGATATGAAGCTATAAGAAACTCTGCTCTTATGTATGTGTGTGTGCAACAACTCCTTAAGCTATAACTCTCCACAAGTAAATCGTAACATGTCTCCAATTCCTCATCATTCGATTCTCTATTCGCCAATTGTGCATGTCACAGCTCAATGACTCAAATAACTTTATAATTTCAACTCTCCACTGTGTGCTCAGAACTCTCCACAAGTATTTCAGCAGAAGTCTATTACTTTTTTCAGTTGGATTCCCAATCAGCTATACTTCAATTGAGTAACTCCATTCGTAGTGTATCTACATAGTACTTTGAGCTCTCTACTATACACTCAAAACTCTCCACAACTAACTCTCTCTCTCTCTCTCTCTCTCTCTCTCTCTCTCTCTTTGTTCTAAGCAACCATCTTTTACACTCTCCAAACATTCATAATTCTCCACGAGATATTATAGGTGATTATTGCAGATTTTTCTTCACTCTTTACTCAAAAGTCTTCAAGACGTCCCTTGCCTACTCTTACACTACACTCATCTGTTCACATATCTCAACCAGTTACTCTCCACTCGTTTCACTTCAGCACTTACACTTTTTCATTTCCTCAGCCTGAGAGCCTCCGCCATCCTTGTAGTCGCCTGTTCCACTGGCGCCGCCAGCGCTTTCCGCTTGAATCATATTCGCATTTGTGGGCACCTCTGTTGATACGCAGCAGAAAGGCATTAATAACAAGGCCACGCACAGGGAGTGGAGTAAGGGAGAAAAGGGGGAGGGGGATAGTGAGAACTAGATACTTACTTATGCAGGGCGCCACATGAGAGCGCGTCTGCTGGTAGCCGCGTGCGCAGCGATTGCAAGTGAGGCCAGTGACGCCCTCCTTGCAGGGACACTGACCACTCAGATGATTGCACGTCTTGCCGGTGGAGCCCACGGGGTGACAGTCGCAGCCTAAAAGAGACAGAGTAAAAGAGAGAGAGAGAGAGAGAGAGTCATCATTAGAGAGAGACATCTGCGCTGTGTGACAGTTAACTAGGCCGCTGATTGATGGCCAAAACAGCTGCTACTTACGTTTGCACACTTTGCGATGATTGGGTGGCTTGGTGGCATCCCGGTAGTAGCCCTCGCGACAATAGTGACAATACCTTCCGGTCGTATCATGCTGACAATTATAGCAAACGCCGCCAGACACGCGGCCGGACAACTTGTACAGCTCCAGGTTGAAGCGACAGCGGCGAGCATGTCCATTGCACTGGCACACTGAAAGCACAACGAGATCAGACGGTCAGTTGGGGTAAAGTAGGGGAAGACATAAAGCATAGCAAAATTACTTATACACTATCATTTGTTCTATCAAATAAGTAAGGGTGCTCTAGTCGAAAGCGCTCGACTCTTAAAGACCCGAATCGCCCAGGCGCACTTTTGTATTTTCTTATACGTGAGGAGTTAAGAAGGAATGTAATACTTTGCCTGATATCTTTTATTCTTGATTTATGCTAAAAATACGATTAAAAAAGCTCTAATTTCACGCGAAATACTGTGGGACATTCTGGTCAAAATTTCAATTCTAGTCTCTAATCCCAAATGTCCTAGAGCAGACGGACAGATAAGCGAAAATACGGGCATACAGATGGACAGATAGATGGACAGACGGAGGATGGGATGGGAGGACATTTGAACGGACGAATAGATGGGAGGACGTATGAATGAAAGGAAAAACAGACAGGTGGGCAAATGCGTATACGGACGGACAGCGCACGGGCGGATAGACAGAAGAACAGACGAACGAACAGACAGCCTGAAGGTGAACTGACAGGAGAAACGAACAGCCCGACATTGTAATCTTGAAAATCTTATAATATTCAGAATGAAGAAGATACAACAGATGTAAGCCTCGCTGCAGGCGAGTCGTAATATCTATTATGACCAAGGCTAATAAGCTTGGCTGAAAAATCTAGTTCATATATAATACAATAATTATAATGCTATGAAATAATTAGTGTAAAATATATATTTATATTTTATTGAATATAATTTGAATTTATTAATTTATATTATAAAATAATTTATATAATATTATAAATATATATATATATATATATATATATATATATATATA